TAGTTTGGGGTTGCTTTGTCTTCTCTGCAGGTCACTTTCCTTTTAAGCCATTAGTTTTCTCCCTCTCTGTCCTTGGCAGGATGAGGTGAGGGTCCAGGGCAGGGCTTCCTAGAGCTGCCACTGCCCTCCAGCCCTGCAGAACAGGTGCTGTGAGCCAGAGCCTCAGCTTTTCCCACCCTAATTGCTGAGTGCTGATAAGCCAGTTTCCCCAGACAGATCCTCCCTCCCACGCTGTATTTTCCCTCCTTTTCCCTGGGTGGGTGATCCAGCTCAGGCTCATCAGGAGAGTGTCAGCTGAGCCAGGATCATCTCATTATTTGGGGCTGTAAGCTGATAACAGAGCTTGTTCCCTGTTGTATGCTTTGCTTTGATTCTCTGAGCTGTGTCTCATCACCTTGTGCCTAAACTTCATCTTTGTAGCTCACTGCTGCAAGGTATTTGTCAGGCACAAAACCCCTTCTCTAATTTCATGACAAGCTTAGGGGTGCATAAACCCAAAGCAGAAAGACCCAGTAATGACAGTCACTGGAGGGGACAGGGGCAGCTGCTGCTGCTTTGCTGCTCTTTGAAAGCCACCAGTGACACTGACACAGCCCTGCTGAAACCAGCACAGAGCTGTGGGACAAGCTTCTCCAGCTCCCTTGTGCTGGTTGTGAAAAACAGAAATGGCACAACCCCAAACTGGTATAATGAAACTGCTAAGATCCTCATTTAAAATACTCTGCTTGAATCAGTAAATTAAGCCTCAGCTGTGCGATCATTTTTTATTAGTTAAGCAAGTTATGGTGCAAATGCACATTTCAGTGACTTCACATTAATTAAAAGAAACTGTTTCAGTCACTGATTAACTTCACATTTGAGCACACTCAAATGTGTCCAAGTTTAATTAGATCTGTATTAAACTGTTTTGTGTTAAACTATTTCAACATAAACACGTGCAAGGTTTGGCTGTATCCTGAAGCTTTTTAAACCTGGGGATTCCATAGTGGGGATCCTCAGACCCACAACATCTGCTGAGCCTGTGGGTGACAGGGAAAGGGAAGGGCTGAGGAGCTCCTGCATGGAAGGTGACACACTGGGGCCTTGTCACTAGCACAGTGTGATCACCTCCTCTGCTGCCTGGGAGAGTTAGCGGGGCTTGTTGGCTGGAGTGTTTGGATACAGCACTGGAAGCTGTGACTGCTGTCATTCAAATGTGGATTACATCGAAAACTGAACTTAAAGTGCAAGACTTGCAGTCTCAACCTGGAGAGTTTTCGTGTTTCCATTTTCAATGTAAGAAACATTCCTCATCACTGCTGATAACCCTTGTGTATGATGGTTGTGTACTTGCACTCTCCTTGCTGAAGGATGTTTTCTTTTCATGATGCTGTAGTTGGAATTCTTCACATGAGCCACTTGAGCTTCATGGAGAATGGGACAGCAGAGTCCCAGACTCACAGCTCGCCAGACAGAGCTCAGCGTGCCAATGACACTGATGCAGATGGGCTGGGGGTTTCATTCCTGGTTCATTGCTTGGCTGGAAACACATGGGCATGTCTTCCTGAATGCCAGGTAAGGGGTAAGTATAAAAGCCCCACTCAAACAAGTTTCTATGCAAAAAAGTAATCCTTGAGGGTTTTCAAATGATGTGGGATAAACTGGAAATTAACCAGCTGATGCTGGTACTGACCACCAGCATAGAGCCAGGGTATTTCTGTTTTTGATAAGGACGGGCTTGGACAAGAGATTGTTGTATGAATTACTCAGGAAGCCATCCTTCTACAGAAAGGAAATCCTGTATTGGGCTGTCTGTGGGTTACAGCAGCCCAGTCTGCTTGCAGGCTCTCAGATTAAGGAGTGCTACACCCTGCTGATAGTTAGTGAGCAGACTGGCAGAGGTGGCAAGCACATCCGATTTAGTAAACAAAATATTTTAAGAGAGAATGTGCAGTAACACCCCAACACCCCAAACTCCTTCATGCAGTGCTCTGGAGGTCTAGCTCCCTCAGCTGTTTGCGGTAGTAAGACACCCTCTCCTGTTTTCCCATCCCCTGCTGCTGTGACTGGCAGAGATCCATTAGTCCACAATAAAAACTGGATTTATGTCTGTCAGATGCTGTTGGTTTGTATTGTAGTTATTAGTATCCCATAAAATCTGGGAGTCAGAGGAATGGCAGGCAAAGGATATTTATTTTGATTATGGCATCTCCTTGGCTGGACCATCCAGTGGGCCGTGGGAGATATGTGCTGGTAGCTTTGCTTTCAGAGGAAATAATTAGAAGAGTAATTACTGGGATATGAAGCCAAGTGACCAATCATTCAGACTTGTATTTTTTTTGCAATCAGTCATTGTACTTTTCTGCTATAGACTGTTTAATAGTGCATTATGAGAAGATGGAGGTATAACCCACTTGCTGTAGAAAAGCAGCTGCACAGCACTGGTGCAGGAAGGGATCCCCAGAGACTTCCTCCTGCACCTGCACAGACTGTGCAGCTGTGGTTCAGCAGGGCAGATACCAGCCTGGGATAGCTGGCAGGAAACCTCAGGCTGGTGTGTCAGGTAGCTCATAAAAGCATCAGTCAAATACCATCACCTGTTTGTGCCTTCTGTCTTTCTACTTCCTTCTGTCTCCTCAGGTGCTGTGCTCTGCCTACGTCTCTGACAGTGGCTGGTGTACTGGAGCATGAACAGATCAGTCACACAGATGTATGAAATACTGCCAGCTGTGGAGAAACTGTAATGGATGCTCTGACCCACTGCTTTCTTTTACCTCTGCAAATCTCCCCCAGAGCTATCATGAGCTATTTTTAGCTCAGCTTGTTTAAGAAGAACATTATTCCTTATTTAGTGAGCAGGATATCCTGTATATGGGACATTCTGGAGTGAGTGTTTAGATAACAGATTTAAACAATGGGTGATTTAAACAATGGTAGTAAAAATTGATGTTATGAATTCTCTCTGGTCACATTTTTGAGGTCATGTTTATTAGTGTACAACCTATTATTTCTCTTGAGTACACAATTGCTATTAAAAACTTCATAAAGCTGAGCACCTCTGGGACGTCTCCCACCTCTGACGTACTCAGCATTTTTCCCAGAGACTCACCCTGTGCTCAGGGAGTCATGAAGCAGCCAAGGTTCCAGAAAACAGGCCACTGGCCATCTCTCATCAGCCCAAGGCTCTACAGATTTCATCTTGCCTCCAGCTGAGGAGGAGAGAAAGGACTAATTTAATTTAAACAGCAGTGGTAAAAATCAGTGCTGTGGATTCATTCTGGTTCTGATGTCAAGGTCACACAATTAGCATTCAGTCTGTTACTCTGCAGCCTGAGAGAGTCTGCCCCAGCACCACCTGGGCATGCAGGAGCTGAGCCTGTGTCTGCACTGCCAGGCCTGGTGTGGCTGGTCAGCTCTTGGCCAGCTCTGGGGCTGTGCCACTGGGCTGGGGTGACATCTGCATGTCCCCCAGCCCGTGGGGCCCAGGGCTGGCTGGGAAGCTGTGGCACTGCCCTGTGCAGAAATCCCAGAGCGATAACTGCTGTGCTGGTGAGCTCTAGGTCCCCCGTGGGCAGCAGGCATGAGGGGCTGTGCCAGCTCCTGCAGATGCAGCTGTCTCTCTCCTGAGCGTGGCTGTGCAGCTAATCAAATCAACCCTGCATGGAAAGAGAGTGCAGCCTGTCTTCAAAAATCAGTGTGCCTGGAGCAAGGCCCAAAGGCATGGGAAACATGCTGGGCTTGAGGGTGAAAAAAAACCACAGGCTAGTAAAAATTGAATGTATGAGCCAAGGGTTCACAGAGTTCAACAATATTTTCCAATAAAACATCTTGAAGGATTGGTTTAATACCAGGACAGCTGTGTTATTTAAACAATTTGGAGTTTTGGGGGTGCAGGACAAAGTAAAGTGATGGGCCACAGGCAATAAGCAGAACAATGAATGGTTTTGTCCCCTCATTCAGCCTTTTGAAGAAATATAAGAAAACATGAAATAGGGAGTGGGAAAGAAAGATGCTTTTCATTTCCTGGGTTTTCTTTGCAAAATATGGCTGTTGTGAGATGATTATTTCTGAGTAGCAAGGCTATGGACTTAGCTGGCTGGAGCTGTCAGAAAACATGCTTTTGGTTGTAGGACATGGAATATTTTGCTGGCTGAGATGTTATAAAACTGCCTGCAGTTTCTTGCCTTTGCATCTGCTTTATTTTTAATCTTAAAAATCCCACTCTCTTGATTGTAACTCCAAGAGTCAGAGTTGGAGTGATTAGGACTTCTCTTTGTATCTCTCAAGTGTACTCTTAACTCTCACCCTGGTTTGGTTACCTGTGAATTAATTCAGGCTGCTTGACCTTGGTTACCTAGTTTGCCTTTGTGTGCAGCATCTTGGCTATGCAACATATGCTACTTCCTGTCAGGTTTGATTTTTATGTACCTAAAGTCATATTTTGCTTCATATAAACACAATTACATAACCAAACATTTGTATGGCATATCTCTTGGTTCTCTGACCCATTCCTTGTTACAGCATTTGCAGCTTGCTGGGTTCAGTCTCTTTTGTTCAAGCACTGCTTTTCACCTACGTGGAGTCAGCCACCCATGCCTCGGTGAAGATACAGCAGCAGGAACTTTATCACCCGAAATTAAACCGAGCAGAATGCTTGCATAGATGGTCCTTAAACTTCAGCAAACAGCTTCAAAACTCTGTAAATATTTATTAGGCAAACAGAAGCTGAGGATGATGACCCTGTCCCCATCAATATTTGAGACAGTTTAACATACTCCCAGCAAACTATGTGTTTAAAAATCATCTCAAGTATCTGTGTAGATTTAACCCCCGGGGTTATTTCTTCTCTCTTAATTTGTTAATAATTTGGGCACAAGGTAAAAAACCCAAGGCTTTTGAATGATTCTATGACTGCAGGCAGCTGTTAGTACGGCAGCAGCCCGTACACACCCTGGCGCACTGGCACTGATGGTTTTGCTGCTCCTTTGGCACCGAGACCCTCAGGCAGAGCTGGGAACTGGATGGACTCGCCTGCAGTGGGCCAGGCCTGTAACACTTTGAGGAAAAACGTGCAACGTGGAGCTTGTGACACGACACCGCCGTCCCCTCCTGTGGGGGTACAGAAACTCGCAGCTTCACACCAAAACTCGCTGCAGGACGCTGTTGCAGTGAGGGGGGCACGGAACCCGACTCTCGCTCCTCTTTCGGGGCTGGCACGGGCAGGGCTGCGGGGGGCTCTGCCTGCCTGGGCGGGAAGGCGGGAAAGAGGCAGATCGGGAAAGAGGCTTTTTTTTTCACTAAGAGACCGCGAAATCGGGAGACCGCGACCTCGCGGGCGGCGCCGCTCCCCGCCCCGGGCCGGCCCCCGTCGGACAACGCCCCCGGCCCTCGGGCCGCCGCCCGCGGCATTTCCTCTGAGCTCAGCCGGCGGCTGACGCGGGGCCGCGTCCCTCGGAAGAGGAAGCCGGCAGCGGAGCGGAGCGGCGGCCGGGGCAGGCAGGGGCGCGGCGGGGCGAGGGGCAGCGGCGCGGCCCGCGCTGGGGGCGG